CTCCTCCACATGGCTACACCCACCTGCAAACAGTTGCATGTCAGGCTGCTGGAGAAGCTGGTCACATAAGTCCAGTTGACCAGAGCAGACCTGCTCTATGGCCTCCTCACAATTATGTAGTGGTCCTTCTGGTTGGGGAAGAGGGTGATGGGGTTCAGGTTGTTGGAAGCCTCTACTTGGATGAGGGGATTCCCGCAGAGTAGACTGGTACTGAGCCAGGCATGATTTGGTGAGCCAATGGTGACCTTTAGCATTCGTAAGAGCAACAGGTGGGACGTGTACCCACAAGTCTTGGCCCTGGGTTAGCTTGTTGGCCTCCTTGGTCAAGAAAGCAGATGCAGCAAGAGCTCTCAAACAAGGGGGCCAGCCTTGGGCAACTCCATCCAGCTGTTAGGACAGTTGCCCCGGGTCTCTTCCAAGACCCCGCAGTCTGAGCAAGTACTCCAACTGCCATCTTTTTTCAATCAGTTACACAGAGAGTAAAAGGTTTACTCAAGGCAGGCAGGCCCAGCGTTGACGCTTCCTAGAGTTTCTCCTTTAAGGTCTTAAAAACAACCTGTTGTTCCATCTCCTACTTCAGGGGTTTTTTTCCTCCCCCCTTTGTAGCCTCATAGAGGGGTCCGGCCAGAATGGTGTAGTTGGGCATCCATATTGTATAGAAACCTGAGGCCCCCACAAATTCTCATGGTTGCTTTTGGGTCCTGGGCTTGGGCATGTTCTGGATCACTGCCTTTCAGGCCGCCCCCAATCTCCTCTCTCCCTTGGGCAGATGGACTCCCAAATACTTAACCTCAGTGCAGCACAACTATCTTTTTCTGAGACACCTAACATCCCTTCTGGCACAGATGTCCAAGCAGTTCTTCCATACCTCACTTGCTCCATCCATGGGACCTGTGCCCCAAGGGAAGGTCATCAACATAGTGCAAAATGAATATATCCCAGGTTCTATACTTTAATAGAGCAGAAGTCTTGGGCCAACACTTCCCCAAAAATGGTCAAGGAGTTTTTGAAACCTTGTGGTAATCTAGTCCAAGTGAACCGGCCATGGTGTCCTGTGTTGGTTGATCCTCATTGCAAAGCGGAAAGGGGCTGGCTCTCTGGGGCCAATCAAACCATCCCACCGAGGCTGGCAACCGTCCTAGAAGAGTATAGGGGTTTGGCATAGTGGAGCGTGGGGCCTCTGTGGCCTCACTGATTGATCAGAGGTCCTAAACTAGGTGGTGGTCCCCAGCGTTTCCCTTCTTGACTGGGAGGAGAGGCGTGTTCCAGGGTGACTGGTAAGGAACAAGGATCCCATAGCTTTGCAGTCTCTCACGGTGTGGTTGGATTTCCCCCGCTGGGCCTCTGGTACTGTCGCTAGGCGACTGGCTTGGCCCCAGGCTTAAATTCTACTTTGACTTGGGGCTGATCAACAGCTAGGCTGGCAGGATTGTCCTCCACCCACACTTGGGGCCACTGCCTAAACAAGTCCTTCTCTCCCTCGGGGACTATCCCAGCTCGCCAGTCATGGAATCTCCATTCCTCTTCCCGAGGGACAGTCAGGGTCAATTATCAGTCACAGCGACAGAGGTACATTTCTCCATCCCTGAAATCATTTTTTGCCCTTAACTTGGCCAACAAATCCCTTCCTAAGAGGGGAACTGGGCAATCCAGCATGTGTGGGAACTGGTGCATCACCTCGTGGCCTCCTATCTTACAAATCTGCAGATGACAAAAGAATTGAGTTTTAGACTACCCTGTGGCTGAGCTGATATTAACAGAGCCGAGGCTGAGGGACCAACAGATGTCACAACTGAATGAATAGCGTGCCCCTCTGTCTATCAGAAATTTAATTGGCTTGTCTCCCACCTATGTGTAGACCATGGGTGGGGTGGGGTGTGTGTGTCCTGTCAAATCTAGTCTTTCTCGGACCTCAAAGAGAGAATTTCCAGCTGGGCGTGGTGGCGCATGCCTGTAATCCCAGCACTCGGGAGGCTGAGGCAGGAGGATCGTTGCAAGTTTCAGACTAGCCTGGGCTACAAAGTGAGCTCAAGGCCAGCCGGAACTGCATAGTGAGACCCTGTCTCAGAAAGACTAAAATAAAATAAAATAAAAACCACATTACCATGTTAAAAAAAAAGAGAATTTCCTTCCACTGTGAAGGGAGAGCTGGTCGCCTCCTGGTTCTCAGATCACTCAGCCATCTTTCTCTTAACTTGAGACACTTGCGCTTATAATGGCCCTTTTCCCTACCACAGGCACACTGGTCCTTTTCTGTGGGTGGACGTGGCTTTCTAGAGTGGTTCCCTTCCTATCTGCACCTTGAGCTTCTGTCGGTCTGCCTGCCAGGGCCACAGCGATGAGGTCGGCCTTTGTCCTCATTTGTCATCTAGCATCTCTGTACTCCTCCACGTCTCAGTTGACAAATACCTCATTGGTGACTTGTAGCAGTTGGACCATGTTCATACCTGAAAAGCCTTCCAGCTTTTGGAGTTTTCGGTGGATGTCCTCAGCACTCTGGCTCACAAAGGCCATGTTGGCCATCCTCCAGATCCAGGGGCATGCAGGTGCAGCACACCTCACAGAGTTGCTCCAGGAACTTGACTGGGCACCCATCTCATCTCTGGAGGACCTCTCCTACCTTGCTGAAGTTGGTCACTTTTTGGCCCCCATGTTGCAATCCTTGTAGCAAGGCAAGTTTGGTAGTTGTCCAGTCAAATCATCTGGTCAGGGATGTTTGGGTCCCACTTCTGGTCCTCTGCGGGTGCTGCTGTCTAGGTGTTTGGACCAAGGGTGCCCGCTGCGGCATTCTCCAGCCAGCTACTGGCAGCAGCCAGGACACGCTGACATTCCTCTGTGCTGAAGAGAATGACAGAAGCTGATAACAATCAGGCCAAGCGGGGTTATGGCTCCGGAAGATGGGCTTGAGCAGGTGAAGGCTTGTGGCCTCTCGGTTATGAAGGAATGTGTTTCCAATTCAACAGGTCAGTGGTGGTAAAGGGCTAATAAACAAAGGTGAGGCACCCCAGAGTCATAGAGCCATCATTCTCAACTGTCAGGGGGGCTCTCTTAGACCTCTTGAAGAGAGAGCTGGAGTCCCATTTTGGGGGAACTCCACCAGAAAGAAGTCTCAGTTGACTCTGGGGAAGCAGGAGAACTTGGTGGTAGAAACTTAAGGCCGAAACACATTCTTGACTGGGTGTGAGGTGTGGTGGGAGCATAGGGTGGTTCTGGAACGGAGACTTCCTGGCTCGGTGTTGGGGTGGCCTTAGGATCGGATGCTGGGGGTGCTGAAGATCTCTGGCTCTGGCCTCAGGGAAAAGCGGGTGCTGATCTAGCGGCGGGGGTGTCCTTGGAGTCACCTATGGGGTTCCATTTTTTCAAGCAGGCTGCAGTGGCATCCAGAGCTTGGGAAAGGGGCTCCCTCAACCAAGGAGGGGGACAAATAACTAGCTGCAACCATGAGGCCACATAGGGAGACTGATCTGGGAACTGACTCCCTGCCACAGCCTGCCACACCCTCCCGACCAAAGCCCTTTCCAAAGGGCCCTGGGTAGGCCACCCAACCTGGAAGGATGGCCACTCCACTCCACAGAGGGTTCGGAGTTTCCCAGGAGTGGGGTTCTGCCCACAATCTCATCAAATCCGCTTTGAAATGTTTGCTCGTGACTTCTAGCCGGTGGACTTGCTTTGACTCTCTCCCATGGTTCCCGCCACCCACAAAGGCCAACGACACGGAGAGTCACCACGCGCTTGGTCCCCTCCTTTCCGGAGATATTTTAGGCCCCTCTTAGGGTGGCAGGGCAGTGAGACTGGCTATCACTCCAGGGTTGTCCTAAGCCTTATGAGGTGGCCCTGCAACCGAGGTTTGTGAATCCACTCGCTTCGGCCCCGTTCACCCAAACTGGAGTTCAGAGTGCGCTGTCCGTCTATTTCACACACACTCGCTGACACAGCCCAACAGGACTCCCACCCGCCCACAGCGGCCTAAGGAGTCCGGTTTCCCAGCGCCTCGGCAGCCTCGGCCGTTACTCTGCAGCGCAGCGGGTGATCAGCCCTCTCTGAAGGTCCTTCCTTGGATCTTCCTCTGGATTGGGGCCCCTAAACTGCACAGTGATTCAGACGTCTGCCGAACGCGCCTGGGCCTCTCCGTGGGAGCCCCCCTCGGACGCCGGCGGGGCTCTGCGCCCGCGCGGGTCACTTCCCCCGAGCCAGGGAACGTCCGTCAGCGCGCGCCCAGCAGCTCAGCCGGCCGGGGCGCTCCGCCGCATCGGGGTCGCCAGACGGGGCAGGAAAAAGGGCGAGTCCCGTACGGAGCACCGGGAACACGGAGCAGCAAACGGCCACCTTCCTGCTGGGGCTCTGCCGGGACTCGCGTCCCCCAGTGCGGCCTCGTGCACACCGGAGGCGGGCAGCGGCCGGGCTTACAGGGCAGAGCAGCGGGGGAGCACGCGGGGACTTCCGGCAGGACTTTCCAGGGTGGCTTTGCCCTCCTGCCAAGAGCGGTCAGGCGTTGCTAGGTCAGGGCAACCCCAAGGGGGGGGGGAGCCTGGTTTCCTCTATTATTATTACTACTAGTACTATTATTATTTTTGTTGGAGACAAGGTCTCGCTGTGTAATTCAGATTGGCCTCGAACTCACAAAGTAGCCCAGGTTTGCCTCCAGCTCGCGCCAATCGTTTTGCCTGAGCCTCCCGAGTGCTGGGATTTACGGTCGTGTGCTACCTCGACCGGCCCAAAAATTTAAAAAAAAAAAAAAAGGCTGGGGGTGAAGCCCAGAGCAAAGGCCCTGGGTTCAACTATCAGAACTGGAAAAAAAAATTGGTGCCTCAATTTTTTTTTGGATAATAGCAGAAGGATCACAAGTCGACCACAGCCTGGGCAATTTAGTAACATAGCGACACTTTAGCTCAAAATAAAACACTAAAAGAAGGGCTGGGGATGTACCTCTGTACGAAGGCCCTGGGGTCAACCCCCCAGGACTAAAATTAAAAAAAAAAAAAAAAGAGAGAGACACTGACCTAAGGGATCTCTATCCTTTCCAGTAACTTGGGAGCTGGTCTGCAGGTTCCAGCAGGCAGGCGCAGCTGCTCGCACACCCCATCGGGGTGGCCGGCCCGGGGAGCGCGCAGCTTCGGGAGGGGCGCGTCGGAAGCGGTAAGGGAAGCGGACACCCGCCTCACCAGCCACAGGGGCCGAGTCATCCCTGGCGATCAAGGGGGTGACAGCCGTGGCAGGCACAGCGCCCTCACGTGGCCCTCTCCATTACAGCAACTTAAACGGCGCAGCCCCAGCCTCTTTCCCTAGGAAAATCCGAAGCCCAGAATGCCCCGCGGTGCGTAAACGCCGCGACCCCGCCCCGACGCCGCGCGGTGCCCTCTGGGACGTGTAGTGCGTGCCCTTTCCCCGCACGCTGCCCTTGGCCCGCGCGCTTCTGCAGCTGGGGGTCGGACTATGCCCCCCAGGAAGGTGATGTCTTTCAAGCGGAGGGTAAGAACCGAGGGACCTGAGAAGTGAGCGATAGAACCCCGCCTGTTTCGGCCCTTGCTGGGCACCAGGGACAAGCGTGACTTCAGAGCCGTAGAACCCACCTGCTCTGGGATCCTGCGGGGAAGTTGGCAGACACTGGGGAGAAGAACTTGCGGGCAAGTCAGGGCTGGGAGCGGCGCGGTTTTTCTTTTTCCGGTCGGCACGTTTGGGATCTCGGGTTCGGCTGAGAAATGGAGACACCGTGTGAGTATTGGGTTCTCTGAAGCCCGAAGGACTGGGGTGGAGCCGATCGCGTTCGGTCCTGGGATCGTAAGCCCGGATTCATCTGTTCCCCGCCGAGGACGTCTTCATTGCACACCGCGCCGCTGTGAATCCTGCACCATACCTGTTCACAGCTCCTACCCGGATCGCACAGTCCTGAGGGCCCTCCTTTAGTTAAGTGACTTCCCTGAGGTCACCCAGTTTAGGCGGAGCGGGAGACACCTCTTTATTTTGTAACCTTCATTTTTGCTTGTGGATGGAGACTATGTTGAAGATGGTTACTTTGCCTTGTGCAGGGGTTTTTATGTAGGCATGTGACCCAGGTCAGCTTGGGACAGGAGGTACTGATTACCACAGAATAGAGTACAGTCACATGGTTTTTTTCTTGTGAACACTTCGCTTGTCACAGGCACTGGGAATGGTCTGAAGTATATTTTTAGTGATACAATAAGGACAATAAGGACTAGTGATACAGTAAGTGCACAGAAATGGGTTGTAATCCCCATCTTTTTTAGTACTATAGTGCTTAAAAAGCTTTTTGTTCTCAAACTTTTTAAGGTTTTTCTTATTTGTAAAATATTTTCATTTGTAAGAAAAATGAAAATACTATGTCCTTGAAAGTTTGAGAGAATTTAATCAGGTAATGTATGATAGAAATTGTTTGCCGGGTGCAATAAGTCTGGCAGATGCGGTGGCACAGGTCTGTAATCCCAGCACTTGGGAGTCTCAGGCAGGAGGATCACCATGAGTTTGACGTCAACCTGAGCTACATAGTGAGTTCCAGGCCAGCCTGAACTATATAGTGAAACCCTTCCTAAAACAACAACAACAACAACAACAACAGCTTTGAGCTGGGCGTGGTGGCACACACCTATAATCAGAGCACTCGCGAGGCTGAGGCAGGAAGATTGTTGCTAGTTGGAGGCCAACTTGAGCTGCATAGGGAGACCCTGTCTCAAAAAGAACAACAACAACAAAAAAAAAACTTTGTAACATGTTGCAGATGTGTTAGGTGATTGTAACCCAGCTTTTCAAAATGTAAGCATTTAGAATATATATAATTTTGTTTGTTTGCTTGTTTGTTTTTTGAGACATGGTCTCACTGTGTAGTTCAGGCTGGCCTTGAACTCCCTACATAGCTCAGGCTAGATCCTCCTGCCTCAGCCCCCTGATGAATGGTGGATTACAGATGTGCTCCACCATACCTGGCTAGAATATATTTTTAAAATAAGTTCTTTTTTATAATCTTCGGTTTGTATATAGTTTCTACATATTATGAAACATTTCTTGATTTAAAAATATTTCGTGATTAGTGCTCTAAGCATCTCCTTTATTACCTCAATAATGATTAAATTGTTTTTTGAGTTCTTTTAGGTATAAGAAGAAAGGAGCAAGAAAGTATTTCAAGAGCTAATATACCAGAGACCATCCTTCTAAAAGTTTTTTAAATTTTTATTTTATTTTTATCTTTTTTTGGTGGTACAATGTTTATTTATTTATTTTAAAAAATTTTTTTGGCACGGGAATTGAACTCAGGACCTTGTGCTTGCCAGGCAGGCGCTTATGCTGCTGAGCTATATCCCCAGCCCCTAAAAAAATTTTTTTTAATCAGGCAGGGTGGTGCATGAGTGTGATCTCAGTGCTTGGGAGGATGAGGCAGGAGTATTGCTTCAAGTTCAAGGCCAGCCTGGGCTACATGATGAGACCCTGTCTCAACCCTCCTCCCCCAAATTAAAAAAAAACTTGAATGGCTACTCATTAACAACTTTAAAGGTGATATATTTATTTCAAAGTTTTACTTAAAAGGACAGCTCTTAGGGCTTGAGGATAGCACACTTGCATAGTATGTACAAGGTTCTAGGTTCATCCCCCAGCACCACAAAATGGGGGGCGGTGAGGAAGACCATTCTAAGTTTAGGGTTTTTTCTCCGTGTTCTTTTTATGGTCAAATTTTAAAACTTTAAGTAAAGTCAGACTTAAACATTTTTTAAAATGAGGTCCAAAAATGTATAATAGGTATTTTGAAATAGGAAGAAGATGTTCAAGTGGGGAGGGGAACAAAGGAGAGGGAATGGGGAAAGGGAAGAAAGGGAAAGTAAAAAAAAGATGAGAAAAGAAGAAAACATGGAAACAAAGCTTTTGTAAATGAGGAAGGGAGGAGAGGTTGAAAGGAGGGTAGGAGAGTAGGGGGAAAATACCAACTTCTGTTATGTACAGGTACAAATTCTCTATGGTGAGTGTGGTCATTATGTATATCTAAAATGTAGCAATAACTGAGCCGGGCGTGGTGGCGCACGCCTGTAATCCCAGCACTTGGGAGGCTGAAGCAGGAGGATGGCTGTGAATTTGAGATCAGCCTGGGCCACAAACTGAGCTCAAGGCAAACCTGAACTTCATAGTGAGACCCTGTCTCAAAAAGACAAAAAATAAATAAATAAAATGTACCAATAAAATCAGATTGAAAAAAGTGAGGTCCAGAAGGAAGCCCACTTGTCTGGATATTTAGTTTTGGAGCAAATCCTGCTATCTGATATAGATTAAGAGCAAAGTCTGCTAATGTAGAAAATATTTGTTACTTGTAATTTGAATGTTGGAATAAATTTGCTGTTAACGAGGTACAAATAACCATGCTAAATCTTTTTTTTTTTTTTTTTAATAGAAACTACATATTGGAATGGATTTAGAGTCATCATAAGGGAAACAAAATCATGAAATTACTTTTATGCCAGCACATGGCACCTGCCTACTAGTTGCAGATGGTTTCTTTACCTAAGGATACCAGACTCACTGGCTTTGAGTATGTTTTGCCTAAGAGCCACTTGTCCCTTCTTCTGGAAAGTGTTTCGCTTTCGACCCTTCAGTTGCAAACCGCTGATTGTTCAGATGAATGAGTGCACAGATGAAAAGGAAATATTTGATGTCATTGACAGAAACAAAGCCACACTTTCGGCAAAGCAAGTAGGACATGCATTTAATGTACTTTGGCGGCTTCAAAGGCAGAAAAAAAGCTCATTACAAAACGCTGAGTGTGTCAGAGACCACCCCCAGTTTCCTACTCTGTATAACTTAACCACACATAAAATCGAATCAATGACTGATGCTACTCTGGTGAACGTGTTACACATTGCCCCACGGTAAGTTATTTGCAGATTTGATGGAAATGATTGAAGTTTATGTTTTAATTTCCTAAAAATGTCTTTTTTGTTGTTACTGTGTTTGGGTGTTTTTTGTTTTTTGTTTTTCGTTTTTTAATTTTGTTTTGAATCAGGGTCTTGCTCTGTAGTCCAGCTGGCCTTGAACTCACTATGTAGTATAGGCTGACCTTGAACTCCTCAATAATCCTCCTGCCTCAGCCTCCTGAGTGCTGGGAATGTGCCACCATGCCTAGCCTAAAAATGTCTTTAAAATAAAAATGTATGTCTTGTTTTCTCTTCCTTTTTCATTTTCTTTGTTTTCTAGCAGTAGTGGGGATTGAATCCAGGACCCCACACATACTAGGTGAGTACCTTATATATACTGAGCTACATCCTCCACTTTTGTCTGTAATTTTTTTTTTTTATTTTGAGACAGGGTCTCACTAAATTGCCCAGGCTTGCCATAAGCTTGTAATCTTCCTGCCTCAGTCTACCAAATTAGCTGGAATAGTAGTCCTGCATCACCAGGAAGGCTGAAAATGCAGTGTTTTTTGTCCTCCCAGAAGATAGTTTTGCCAGGTGTAGTGGCAAATACCTCTATTCCCAGTATCCCGAGGCTGAGGAAGGAGGATCAACACTAGTTCAGGGCCAGCCTGGGCTACCTAATGAATTCAAGGCCAGCCTGAACTGCATAGCAAGCCCCTGTCTCAAAAAACCAAAAATATTAGAAAATACAAAAAGATAAGATGTTTGGAAGATACTCTTTGGAGATGAGGAGTACGTCGTCTTAAGGGTTTGTTTTTTTTTTAATTTTAAAGAGTAAAAGAAGGATAACATAGTAATAGGGAGCTTACCAAGTTACAGACAAAGTGGTAGGAAATTATCAGTGGTTGTTGTTTTACTTACTGTTATCTACAAGATAGTTTCTCAGAAAAACAAATAGACAAATAATAGTGAGTTACAGACAAAAGAAGTAGGAGATTATCAATAGTTGTTGTACTATACTTTGTTATCTTCAAAGTGGCTTCTAAAGAAAATAAATAGAGCTATACATGAGTGACCAATTGGATCATCATTGACTATTCTCAATGGTTGTTGTAGGAAACACATAATAATAAACATACATCCATTTACAAAATAGCATAGGAACAATACAAACATTACAGAGTTACAGACAGATTAGTAGGAAAATATCAATGGCTGCTGCAATACATGGTGGTGTCTTCAAAGTAGTTTCTCAGGAAGACAGAGATGTGCAAGAAAGATCTAACAAGTAGTTACAGCCTCAAGGTTATGAAAAACAGCGTGTTACCTCCTTACCAGTGACTCCTTTCGCTGAGGTGTGACAGCTGGAAGGAAGGCCAGGATTGAAAAGAAGGACCGAGAGACTTGCACCTGTGTCTAGCAACAGGCTGTTTCTTTTTCCTCAATAGTCATGATTACCTGGGGCTCCTCCATGGAGGTGACAGTCTGGCCAGAGGGAGAAGGCAGAGTATGCCCCAGGCCCCCTTATTCCTGTTGGACTAACTGGTAGCATGGGTCTGAGCTCTGGGGCCTCCACCTCAGAGGGCAGACCGATCTCTAGTGGTCTCATTTGCATTCAGGGCATGGCCCATGGGGCTTCTTAGGGCAGTTCCTCTTGAGGTGACCTGGCTTTTAACAGTGGTAGCAGATGAATGCAGTCATTGAGTTCTTCTTGGGACCCTGAGAATCAGACTTAGGGTCTGTTTCTCTTGGTGCTGCAGCAAAAGCAGCTGCTTTTTCTCAGTCTCTTTGTTTTCTCTCCTTGGCCTCCTCATAGTCACGGCTATAGAATGCTGAGGAGGCAATTCTTACTAATATCTCAAGTGAGCCATCTGGAGTGAAAGCCATTTTTTGTGGCTTTTTCTCTCCAGCCTCCCATTGCATTGGGACCCCACAACCACTTAGTGTCCTCTCCCCAGCCATCAGCACAGGCAGCAGGAATCTCGGTGCAGACCTCTCCGGAGTTCCACATGCTCCTCCACCGCAGCCTGTACTGTCAGGGGAAGAATGGCTTCCAGGGGTTCTCCCCAGGTGTTGTGCAAGGTCCTCCTGGTTTCCAGCTTCCAAATGGCTCTCGTGACCCTGGTCAACTAGACCTCTGAGTCTTCAGGCATAGTCTGTATTCTTGGGTTCTCCGAGTCCTTGTTCAGCAGCTGCTCCTCTGCTGACTCTGGACCTTTCTGGTTCTCAACGGCAGGGGCAAGAGTGACCCATTGTGTGGCATGTATTCCCAGGGTTTTCTCCATGTCGGAATGATTCACGCATGTCCACCGGCGGTTCTCCACGGCCGGCTCATGGCAGGCCAGTTGTGTCATTGCTTCTCTGTGTCATGATAGTTCTCCATCATGCGGTGGTGGCCGGCTTGAGGGTGGCGTGCACCAGCGGTTACCGCTGCACGTCTTCCCAGGCGCCGGGTCCTGCCTCCCCCGCGCCTGCACTTTAAGGTTTTTGTTTGTACTGGGAGTCGAACTCAAGGCCTTGTGCTTACCAGGCAGGCGCTTGTGCCACTGAGCTATATCCCCAGCCACCTTTAAGAAATTGAATATAATCAATCATGAAAGCAGAAGTGGTCAACTTTGGGTATATGAATTTGGGTAATTATAGAATTTTGTAAAAATATGGTTGAAATAAGATAAGATATAATAGATGATCAAACTTCAGATTAATATCTAATAACAAACAGACAATACATTTTATCTTTCTTGGTGTGTTTGTAAGCTCTGGGTTCCATAATTGGTAGTAGATATATATTTTCCGGGGCTGTGGGTACAATATGTTGCTTCCCACTAATGCACATGAGAGAACACAAAATATCTGTTAGGTGTGGTGGTACCCACCTGTAATTCTAGCACTTTGGAGGCTGAGACAAGAGGATTGCAAATTGGAGCCCAGCCTAGGCAATTTTGCAAGACCCTGTCTCAAAATACAAAAAATAAAAAAGGTCTGGGGATGCAGCTTAGTGTGAAGGCTCTAGGTTCAATCTTCAGTGCTTTCCTCCCCCATACTACCTCATTTATATTTGAGAAGTGCTTCACAAATTGCATTCCATGGCTTGTTGACCGTGTTACATACGAAAGGAAACAAAACAAAAGTTTTCCCTTGCTGTTAGAAAAAACTTAGAGAGGGGCTGGGGATTTAGCTCAGCGGCAAAAGC